TTAAGAATGGACAGGAATTTCTAAAAATCTGAGATCCTCCTTTGAAATTTTGAGTAAGGTTTTTTGATGCTATTCCTTTGTAGAAATTTTCTATTTTTGTTCCATTTTAACTGCAACATTTTTTCCATTGCTTATATTCAGAATCCTAACCTAATACTATTAATATAGACTATGGTACTTCAAAATAGATACTGAATAAAAAGTATTATTCAGTATAAAAGTATTATATTGTTAAATAAATTATACCAAATAAGACATATATATTTAAAATGTTAAAATATAATTAGGTACCCAAAAAAGAATGGAAAACTAAAAATATTTAAAGGCTATACCTTGTTTTAACCTCAGACATATTCAATAAAAGCTGTGTAAACTAACAAATTATATTGAAAAATTACTTCCTCCTTACTTTTTTGATGAAATATAGATTTTCTATCAAAATTTCTTAAACTGAATACCATTATAATATGCTTTATTTTTAAAGAGAGAGAATACATACATGGAAATATATAATGGTATGTATAGAAGGAAGTACGAAATAGGAAGATTCGTGTACCTGGTTGCGACACAGGGATAATTAGGCCAACATTGTAGGTTCTGACTCCTATGTGAGTGAGTTAATTTTACTCAGTTGTATAACTATAAAAATAACTGCCCCACACAAGGGGGCTTTGTGAGTACTGTGATAACAGCACATATGTGGTATGCACAATATTGGGGGGAAAGAACCACTTGAAGGCACATGTACAGAGAGCAGACTGGTAACATAATCACGATCTTTGGATATTAAGACCAGCACAATTGCCTAGAGGTTGTGATTACATATACAGACATACATATCATGAACATATATAGAGAGATTTAATAAATGTTCATATTTGAAGAATTCAGGGAGAAGTATAAAGGGAATGATATAATAAGAAACATAAATAGGATATAATAAGATGTGCATATTTTAGAGGTACAATGAGTAAATGGACTAAAGAGTAAAAGAGATGAGACTACCTGAAAGGAATTATGAATGAGTTCAAGCAGCCACATTCATGGAAAAATCTATAGCAAATCCCAGCACAGACCAATAGTCCAGGAGATATTTGTAAGTAAATGGGATCATCCTAGGTAAAGACTTACTAGACTGGAGGTAGAAACTGGAGGCAGTAATTTGGATAATAAGACTATATGCTTTCACTTGAAATATCTGAATAACTACCTCAAATCTCTACTTCAATTTTGTAAAGCTCGACCAGAGATAAACTGAAAAACAGTGAAAACTGCTGTTTAGTTAAATTTTCTAATGAGATTGGGAGCACTTGCCTGAAAGACCTGGGTGTGTGAAATGTAAATTTGATTACAACAAAATGCATAGGGATCCAGAGATTGCTCGTGTGGATCAACAAATGGGGCTGAGCCAAGGAATTCTAGCTTTGACTCTAATTTACAAGTGCTTATCCTAGGGCTATGATCTCACAATCTTCACGTGGAGAAGGGAAGGGAACCATTTACTAAATTCTAAATATGGCAGTTTAGTGAAAACTAGATGATTTACATATATTACTTCCTTTAATAGATATCTCTCAATGGCCTTATTGAGTAGATATTATTTCTATTTTTACATATGAGAGAAATAAGACTCAGAAAGTTCATGTAGCTTGCCCAAGGTCTCTCAGCCAGTTAAAAGTAAAACCAGATAAAGGGTATGTTTGATGGCAAAGCTCCTTCCAGGATATCTTACTTCTTTTTTCATTCTTTTCTGAAACCTCAGGACGAGTTAATGAATTCGTAGCATGACTTGTGAATCATATTGGCGAGAACCTCCTACTGCTTCAAATCAGGAGCTCTTGAATTTCTGCTAAGGGTAGTAATTTTGGCTGAAGAAAGCTGCCTGTCTTCAAGCAGTTATCTAACTATAAGTCAGAGACAGGGAGAAATGGTCAGTATTTTAAAAAGAGATACTTCCTTGCTTCAACCTGGGTTCTAACAGCAAAGCTTAAAGGTCCTGGACTAGAATTGCTTGCCTTTTGTAGAAAAACAAAGAACTCAGGTCAGAGATGCTGAAGTCTCTGGTCATTTAATCTTAAATAAGAAATCCTACAGCTTGTAATCTAGAATAATGCTCCTAAGAAAGCAGACTCTTTTCTATTGAAAGCGCATAGTTTTTCCATTGTTAACTGAAAGAGACTGGGAATTACAGGGAATGGTGTGAGGATATTTTAATCTGCCTTACAGTAGCTAGTACTGTACCATATGTGAAGTTGTAATTTATTCAAGTCATGCATTTTACAAGCAAAGAAAATGAATCATAAATGGTAGTCTTACAAATATTATCGTCCATTGTTATGCCAGTTATGCCTCTCACAAAAACCCAAAGGAAGGTATTTAGAACCAGTGGAGCACTTGCTCCTTACAGGCCTTGTTTGCAGGTAGGAGCTGAAAATAGCAAATACTGAAGGACAGACCAGAGACAATAGAAAATTCATCTATAGCCAAAACAGATTAAAACAAAAAAACAAACAAAAAAATCCAATACTTTATACATATATGCACATGTAGGCATTTGCTTTAGAACAATATTTTCAATATTCTGTTACGATAATCCAAGAAGTTAATAATAAATACCAAAACAATAGCTCTGGGAATGGAAAACAAGGGATGCAATCAAGAGGACACAGAAGGAACACGTACTGTAGAGGTAAGAAAAGTAAGTTTAGTATTGAGCATGTTAAATTTACTAGCAGCAGGTATAAATTTCGTGCATGAATCTGGAGCTTAGGCAAGATCTGGGCAAAAACACGAGATTTAGAAATCACTTAATAGGTGGTATCGGAAACCACTGGCATACATGAGGTTAACTGAAATGAATGTGCAAGACATGAAAAGGATCAAATTCAAAATGCTAAAGAAAGTTTATATTCAAGGAATGGACAAAGGAAGTCAAGCCTACAAAAGAGCTGATTAAAGGAGACTATTACCATATTGTTCACCTGTCTCTCTTCTGCACTATACAGTGAGATCCATGGGGCAGAAATGTTGTTTTATTCATCTTTGTGTATCCAGTACTTAACCTAGTACCTAACATCAGTAGATGTTTAATAAATATTTGTTGAACAAATTGAATTATGTTTCTATATATGGTGTTGCTTTCAAAACACCTACCTAAAGTGCCTAAGAGGGTTAATTATAACACTCTTCTTCTGTATTACAGATTGAGTTTGATCCAACTCAAAGGTTGAATGCCAATCTCACTATTATTTTTCATCATCATGGGTGGAAATAGTTGACAAGGAAGTGAACCATCCGTGAAGAGTTTGCTAACTTACAAGTGACAATTGATTTGATGAACAAATGAAGGGGAAACAAGCACATAAAGAGAAAAGAGAATCTATCTGACAGATTTTTTTTTCCTAGAGGAAATATAGAAATGGCCATTTCCAATTCTGTTTTTTCCTTAAAAGGACTGGAATTTCTGTTTAAATGTGACTTGGCATGTACTGAGATTTTTCCAAGGACTGATGTTAAGGGAAACTCCCCTGAAATTATAAGAGGCCAGGAGTGGTTAATTTATGTTTATAATAGATAAAGTATTATTTAAATTTTTTCCAACTTAAGTTTACATTCATATTTTCTGAATATGTCTTGGTGGTGATTGACATAAAAAATATCTGAATAATGTGTGTTTAATAATAGAAAAAACCTGTTTCATTGAAATTGGTTTTGAAATCAATTAATTCCTATTTCTCTACTCTAGTCAGTTTTCTAATCTTTATTTCCTTTAATGAGGAGTAACACAAAAACACAAGTTTAAGCATACTGATACTATACATATTTAAAATAATGCCAGTCAAAGATATAAAATAAGTGTAAACTATATAAAAACAATTTTTGTTTAAGTAGGGTCAGGGAACAAAGAGCTAGAATTTGGCATTAAAAATTTCACTAGTTTTAGGCCTTTTAATTTTAAAATAATTTGTTTTGTTATCTACAATTTTGTATAGATACTCACTAATGTTCACTGAAGTTATGTTATGATCAATGAATGAAGACATTTATTTGTAAAATCAATCTCTGTGTTTGTCTTTATCTGCATAACAAAAACAATTTAGAAATTGTATTTTATTCAGATTGCACGACATACAACTTTAATGCTGAATTTTCAAGAAAAGGAAGTGGTTGCCTGACCACTGCACTGTACACCTAAAGCTTAATATTATTGAATGTCAACTATAATTAACTATACATATAGTCACAGAATATGGAGTACAGCATAGGGAATAGAGTCGATAGAATTGTAACAGCTATATACGATGTCAATTGGGGGTGGGAGGTTATCACTTTGTGAGGGATGTAATGTCTAACTAGTACATTATTTTGTACACCTGAAACTAATAAAAAAAAAAATAAAGGAAAAAAAGAAAGGGAAGTGGTTGATTAAAAACAGAAAACACTAGGGAACACCACCTTTCTTTCCACAAGCTGGACTCAATGTGCTACTTACTAAACTAAGAGCAGAAAATGAGAAGATAGATGAAGCAGAAAAACTGAGATAAGACTGGTTGCTCAGTGATCCATAGATAAATTAATGTAGTTTTTACATTTTACATTTAAAAAAATATTTTCCACAAAGAAAAACATGAATATGAGACAGACTAGTTACCTTCCATTTCTGACAGATAGGACATCAGGCAGAGTTGGAGTTAACAATTTTCCTCATGCAGTGCTGATGGCTCTCTCTTTAGAGTATTGATATTTTGATGGACAGAAGAAACACAGTTGATTTTTATCCATTTTAAAAAATTTTATGAAAAAGGAAGCTTTATGGGTTTTTTACTCTGTATACCATCAAGTTGACCTTATGGTTGAATAGAACTAAGAAGTAAAAAGAATGATGATAATAACTGTGATAATGATTAATAACCTTTGTCTTTCAGGAAAACTGTATATTAATGTTCTATGAATCTTACTTGGAAAACAAATGCAAAGGTAATGGGCACACATAATAGTACCTCGGTAGTTGATGATTTCTGTCCCAAGCACCGGAGTCATCTCCAGGACTGTGATGAAGGCTTTGTCCATAGATGTTAGGGGAAAAGGAGACATGCGGTGTCTTCTAGCCACCTTGGTGATATCCACAGCACTGTGACCTAAACAGGAAGATAATTAACTAAGAATATGATGCTGGAACAGTGATTAAAAACATGGGAATGACACATATATATCAACAACTCTATTTCTTATGCCTGCAAATAAAGATTACAAGGTGAGAAATTATCTCTTGCTTCCAAAATACAGCCTGCTTTGGTGGAACTTTAAATCACATAGCAATCTTACATCATGTGCCAAAACTTGGTGAACTTTAATGGTGATATTTCCTAATCCTTTTTGAGTGTTGCTATGTGTCACAGCATTGTTCTAATTTAACTTATTAATCTTCACAACAACCTTATAGGGAGGCATCATTATTATCCTTATTTACAAATGAGGAAAGAGAGGTATAGAGAGATTATGTATCTTTGCCTCAATCACAGAACTAGTAACAGAAGAGCCACAATTCAAACCTAGGTAGCCTGGCTTCAGAGTCCATGTCCTTAACCACTATATTAAACTTTAAATACTTAATGAGCTAGTTAGTAAAATGGAATACCCAAACTTGAATTTGTTTAGGATTTCACAGGAAATTTTCTTTCCTCTGAAAAAAGTCATAGAAAATGATTATTTAGCTATTCCATACATAACCTCATTTAGTTCCATGGCATTAATGTTACCCATATACTAAAACTCCTAATTTTATATATCTAATCCCAACCTCTACCCTCAACTCTAGATTTGTATGTCACTCAAATAGCTGGTGAATAAGAATATAAGTCTCCAAACTTATAAATCATCCAACATGCACTTGGATATGTACAGTCAATTCAAACCTTATCTGTCCAAACCAAACTCTTGATTCCCTACCTTCATATCTTACCCACAAAACATGTTACTCTTGCAATTCCCCTCTCAGTAAACACCAACTCCATTCTTCCTGTTATTAGTCTAAAACCTTGGGGACATCCTTGATTTTTCTCTTTTTGTCAGAACCATATCTAAACTACCTTTGAAATATCTCTAGAATCTGATCATTATTCACCATCTCCACTACTACAATATTTGGAACTATCATTTCCTGGGAAACTGAATAGCCTCCTGACTGGTCTCCCTGCTTCTATCCCTGGGCATTTCAATTTATTCTCCACATAGCAGGCACAGTGATCCTTTTAAACTGTAAACAGTCTTGTGCTAATCTCTGTTCACAACCTTCCAACGACTTTCCATTTCACTCAGAGTAAAAGCTTTGTTATGGCTTACAAAGCCCAACATATTATGGCTCCCACTGTTCTAAGCTATTATTTTCCCCCCTTGTTAACTGTCCTCTAGCTATACTGGTTTCTTGTTTGTCCTTGAGCATGTCAAATACATTTCTTTTTAGGGTCTGGATTTACTATTTCCTCTACTTGGACCTTTCTTCCCCAGGTATTATGGCTCCATCTATCACTCATTTCTTTCATGTCTTTGCTAAAATATTACCTCATCAGAGGGCCTTTGTTAAACATCCTATATAGAATATACCTACCTTCACTCTTTATTCTCCTTACCCTGTTTCACTTTTCTACCTGAACACACACACATACACACACACGAATATGGATACCCATACACATACAATATATTGGGTTGTCGGAAAAGTCATGACGCATTTTTGCAACAAAAAACATAGAAAAAATATGTCATGACTTTTCCGACAACCTGATATAATACATATTTATATTTATTTGTTTATAGCCTTCTTCTTCTAAGTACAATGTAAGCTCCATGACAGCAACAATTTTATCTTTCTGTTCAGTGTTGTTATATCCAATACCTAGATAGTTTTTGGACACATCTTAGGCAATAAAAAAATATTTGTTGACTTAGTGAATGAATCTTCTAATGGCAACAAGTGACTTCTTAGAACATTATATCCTTATTCATAAATAACTTGGTCTGGGCTGGTCGAGTGGCTCAGTTGGTTAAGAGTTAGCTTAAGAGCACGAGCTCTGAGCAACAGTGCTACCGGTTCGATTCCCACATGGGCCAGTGATGCTGTGCCTGAGCTGAGCTGCCGTTGAGCTGCCAACAGGTGACAGGGTGGCTCAGCTGGTGAGAGCACGTGCTCCTAACAACAAGACTGCTTGTTTGATAGTGGGCTACACCCGCCAGCAACTAAGATTGAACTCGGCATCTTGAGCTGAGCTGCCACCCGGATGGCTCAGTGGATAGAGCGTGCGCTCTTAACAACAACGCTGCTGGTTTGACTCCCACATGGGATGGTGGCTACGCCCACCCGCAACTAAGGTTGAACACAGCACATTGAGCTTAGAGGCCACAAGCTGCCGAGGGAAAGCCAGATGGCGACTGGCGCCCTCCACAACAAAGACTGAAGAACAACAACTTGGCTGGTCCCCTTCCCCAATTCTCCAACACTGTTCCTCTCCCCCAATTCCCCAATAATAAATAAATAAATACATAAATAAACAAACTTGGTCTTTTCTTTGAAACCTTAAGGGTCTATTAGCCCAAAGGGTAAACAGACGAGAAGTAACTGCAAACACTGTTGCTTGGCTGTTCTCTCTCATTTTTAAATTGGAAATTGCAGTGTGAATATCTACCAGCCTGGAAAAATATTTTCCATCTTTAAAATAATTTTATATCTGTTTATATTTTTCTTATGGCACCTACCATCCTCTACCTTATGTTACAGGCATTTAAATATTAGTTTACCTATGTTAGTGAATTGTAAACTCCTTGAAGGTAGGGTCTATATCTTATTAACTTTTGTATTCTTTGCCACTTTTAGAACAGTGTTTTCCTTATATTTATAGTAGTTACTGAAGAAATACTTGAGGTGTGAATAAATAGCAAATCCTTCAAACAAAGTCAAAAGTTGGGAAGGGGAAATCAAAGGGTACTTCCTGCTCTGCCCTTTTGCTTTTCTAAGCTCTTAAATATTTATAGACTCTGCCACAGAGAGACAGCCTCAGTGAATAAATAATCCAAACTTTGATGATAGTGGGTGAATACTGGTCCCTGGCTAAACTATTTGTGTGTTATCACAGGAGCCTTCTGGATATATAATAAATTAACTGAAAGGGATATCTCAAAGGAGGAGAAGTTTAATTCTCTGGCACATTAGTGGGTAGGGGTGTGTGTGTGTGTGTGTGTGTGTGTCCGTCTGTGTGGATGTTTTCAACAAATATTTACTGAGCACTTTCTATACGCAAGAAGCTTCTTCCCATTCAAGACCCACAAAATCACACAGAGGAGTAGTCAGCTACTTCACCAATAAAGAAGGGTTAACTTGGTCCTATAAATATGAGAAAAACAGTATTTGTAACTGACCTTTTACACACAGTATAAAATTAATGAAATAGATAATAGCTGCTCTTTTTAAGTAAAAGGAACAGGTAAATAACATTAATATATCTAGTTCTGTTTCATCAAACAATATGCAGGATGGCTACTTATCCATATAAGATTCCATTCAACAAAAAATTGTAGCCAAAATAGGTTTGAAAACCATTGATCTATGTGATCCAGTACTTTCATTTTCACGTCAAAGTGGACAAACAATGCTCCGGGGAAAACACCAGGGACACACACTCAAGAGGCACCAGCATGGGCCGGCCAAGTGGCGCGATGGTTAAGAACTGGCTTGGGATGCCAGAGGACCCCAGTTCGGATCCCACATATGAGGGACAGTGACACTCCCCTCCACAGCTAAGATGCTGAACGACAGCTCAACCTGGAGCTGGGCTGCCATGAGTCGCCAGCGAAGGCGTAGGCTGTGGGTTGCCATGGGCTACTGTATGTAGCCAGCAGCCACTGTGAGCGGCCATCCAGAAGCCAGCGACTGATCTGCCTCGCCCGGGAAGAGCGCAATGATGGTGCCAACTTGGGCCAGTGAAGCAANTACAACTAGACTGAAGAACAAAAAAGACAGCAACTTGTCTCTTCCCCTTCCCCCAATTCCCCAATAAAAAAAAAAAAAAAAAAAAAAAAAGAGGCACCAGCAGCTGGAGGCCTAGGCTGAGGACACGGCAACCACATGCATGCAGGTCTGACAAGGTCAGCCCATTTTTAGAAGGCATACATTCCCAAAAGAAATCTGGTAAGCAAATAGTATGTTCCCTGGTTTGGTTTGTTTCCATTTTTAAAAGAAATACAATTTCAACTGTTTTCTGATGCTGATACCAGTCATTTATAAGAAGCTTCAAAATAAAAGCTTCAGAAAATTTAAGAAGAGTTATCTCTGAGTCCTGGTATTTCACAAGTTACAACCCCAAAGCACTTCTGTCTTGGGCCACTGAGAACTTAGTCAGGCAGGAAAAAGGATCAAGAAATGTTTTCTCCCGCATTACAACCCTCTTTTTAATTCTGAGCCTAGTACAGGAATCTGATGGAAGAGAAAAAATTTGAGGAAAAAAAAAAAAAAGGATGCATCTTGAAGGCCAGATGGGCTATAGCCTAGCATCCAATTTTCATTGAGTTGGTCCATACTTAGGCAAAAGTAGGAATTGAAGGAAAGAATAATTTTTTAAAAAGTAAGAAGGTTATAATGAAAAGAAGTTTGGGTTTTAGATAGAGAAAATATCCAAAATTTGATAGAAAGTTTGGATAGATTTTTTTTTTCTGTAAAGCAAAAACTATTCCATGGCCACAACTATATTCTGGTAGCTACCTTACAAATGAATACCAATAGTCACAAAGAGAATCTGTAGGGCATTAACGCCACTCAATACTACAAAACAAAACAAAACTAATATGTGAAAATATGTCCTACTAAGAAGATTATAGTGTTCAAGGAAATATTTATTTTAACTTACAATAGTAAAATCAGTGGGTGATGTATGGCTGTTAGTGATAATTGTAGGTAGGCTAGCTTCCTGAACAAAAATAAACTACAAAGTGCTTTAGGATATGGGATCTTTATATGGGAGTGCGAGTGGGGATGGGGAAAGGAAGTGTATACACCCTCCCCATTAGTAGCTGTCTGAATTGAGCAAAGAGTAACAGGTTGAATTATAACATCTAAATTGAGAGCATTCTTCTGCAATGGGTTTAATTT